GTTCTGCTGTTAGGGTCAATTTGCATATTACCCTTTTTTTATATAGGATGCTACTCTCTCCCTCTGAAATCAATACAAATATATTTTTTAAAAATACTGTACAGTGTTTCTATGTAAATGTGTGTGTGTGTGTGTGTCCAAGAGAACTGGAACATAACCTTGTTTGTAGCAGCATCACTCATAAAACCCAAAGGTTCCAATGTCCACCTCCTAATGAATGGGTGAACGTCCACACAATGGTCTCATTTGGCCATTAAAAGGAAGGCAGTGCTGCCCAGCCGGGTGGCTCAGCTGATTGGAGCATCGTCCTGTGCAGGCTTGATTCCTGGTCAGAGCACATACCTAGGTTGTGGGTTCGATCCCCAATTGGGGCATTTCTGGAAGGCAGCCAATCGATGCTCTCTCTCACATCAATAGTTCTCTCTCCCTTCCTCCCGCCTCGTTAAAATCAGTAAGCATATCCTCCATGAGGATTCAAAGAAAAAGGCATGAAGGACTGACCCTGACACAACATGAGGAACCTTGAACGCATGGTGCTCAGTGAAAGAAGCCGAACACAAATGACCGCATCGCAGGACTATTTATACGAAATGGCCAGAAAAGGCCAATCCATAGAGACAGAAGATAGATGGTTGCAGGGGCTGGGAGGAGAGGGGGTGAGATTACTGAGCGTGAGGTTTCTTTTGGGGATGATGAAACGTTTTAAAGTAGATAGTGGTCATAACCCACGGACACAGACAATAGGGTGGTGAAGGCCTGGGGTGGGGGACGGGGCAGGTTAGAAGGGGTCAGCGGGGAAAAACCAGATACTTTCAACAATATTTAATTTCTTAAAAATAAAAATAAAGTAGACAGTGGTGATGGTTGCACAACTCTGGAAGTATACTGACAACCAGCGAATTGCACACTTTGAGTAAACTGGGTGTGCAGATTCCCTCACTAAAACTTCCCATCGGCCCTCTGCATTCAAAAATTCCCAAATGGGGATCAAAACTACTGTTTTCTAGCTTCAGGGGTTGAATTAGCAGATCATGGGTGAGGAGGCCAGTGGTATGCATTGCTCCATACCACCTATAATAATAAAAGCATAATATGCTAATTAGACCGGACAGCCAAACAACCTTCCGGACGACCTTCTAGATCAGTGCTTCTCAACATTCTGGCCCTTTAAACACAGTTCCTCATGTTGTGACCCAACCATAAAATTATTTTCGTTGCTACTTCATAACTGTAATGTTGCTATTGTTATGAATCATAATGTAAATATCTGATATGCAGGATGGTCTTAGGCGACCCCTGTGAAAGGGTTGTTCGACCGCCAAAGGGGTTGCAACCCACAGGTTGAGAACCACTGTTCTAGATGAAGCTTGAACATCCTCGGTCTTAGTAGCCATGGGGGTTTCTGTCCTTTTGAGGAACACTTGGTACCAGAATTAAATTCCAAACCCAGCCAAGTGGCAGTGGATGCTTCTCACCAAGAGCAAGTGCTTTCCTTCAGTCCTGCTCTGGCCCCAGCGGGTTTATCCGTAAACAGGAAACAGGGGTAATGGAATCGAACACAAAAGAATGGGCCTTTCTGGTGTCAGTCAAAAGGAGCGGCTAGCAGTGTATCCACCTTCCTCACCCTGATTGTGGGGCTGGAGAGGAAGCCGCTGCAGCTCACACCGATAAGTTCTTGAAACACAGTCCACAAAGTCTGCACAACTGTTTAGAAAAGATTTATTTGAACATATGAAAGAAAACTAGACCCCAATGGAACAGAGATGCCCTTTCACTGGTGACAGGCAACCGCCACAGGTTCCCGCGAACGGCGCCAGGTGCGGGCGTCAGCTGGAGACCACAGGTTCGGCCGGAGCTCACGGAGCTATGGAGTGGCCCGTGTCTGTGGCAGGAGCACACCCCAATCACAGGAAAGAAGCAGACAAGTGGACGTGCAAACGCTGCTTCGCACACCCGTGTCCCCGGACACACGAGACAACAGGCGCTCGGGATGGCATCTTTGAAAGACACCCGCATGGCTCCGTGGAGGGCTGGACACATTCATTTCCTTTCGTCTGTCCATCTGGACTCTCACCAACGCAGCCAGGTAGGAGGCGCCTGGGCCGCGATGTCACAGGTCTCCTGCCCCGGACAGTGCTGGTGAGCAAGGGCCGCTGGCCGCCTCCCCGAG